AATGGATAATTTTGATTACATTAAATTAAATAGGTTTTGCACAAACAAAGCCAATGTAACCAAGATTAGAAGAGAAGCAGAAAGCTGGGAAACAATTTTTATGGCCAGTGTCTGTGACAAAGGCCTCATTTCTAAAATATATAGAGAACTGAGTCAAATTTATAAGAATACAAGTCATTCCCCAATTGATAAATGGTCAAAGGATTTGAACAGGCAGTTCTCAGATGAAGAAATTAAAGCCACCTATAGTCATACGAAAAAATGCTCTCGATCACTATTGATTAGAGAAATGCAAATTAAAACAGCTCTGAGGTACCACATCATACCTATCAGATTGGCTAACATGACAAAACAGGAAAATGATAAATGTTGGAGAAGACGTGGGAAAATTGGAACACTAATGCATTGTTGGTGGAGTTGTGAACTTATCCAACCATTCTGGAGAGCAATTTGGAATTATGCCCAAAGGGCTATAAAACTGTGCATACGCTTTGACTCAGCAATAGCACTATTAGGTCTGTATCCCGAAGAGATCATAAGAAAGGGAAAAGGACCCACATGTACAAAAATATTTATAGCATCTCTTTTGTGGTGGCAAAGAATTGGAAATTGAAGGAATGCCCATCGATTGGCTGAATAAGTTGTGGTATATGAATGTAATGGAATGCTATTGTTCCATAAGAAATAATGAACAGGTGGATTTCTGAAAAACTTGAAAAGACTTCCATGAACTGATGCTGAGTGAAGTGAGCAGAACCCGGAGAACATTATATACAGTAACAGCAATATTGTGCAATGACCAATCAGAAGTGCAATGATCTAAGACAATTCCAAAAGACTCATGATGGAAAATACTATCCACATCCGGAGGAAAAAACTATGCAGTCTGAATGGGGATTGAAGCATACTATTTTCTCTCTTTTTTTCTTGTGGTTTTCCCCTTTTGCTCCAATTCGTCTTTCACAACATGACTAATGTGGACATATGTTAACAAAAAATAGGAAGCCAGGGAGGTCAGTAGGAAGTTTGGTATAATCAGTGATCTCAATGTCCTTTTCCTATTTTTAAGCATCAAAAAACTTAAGACAGCTCAGATTGGAGTTGTTTTGATTATGAACCATTCCATTTAAAAAATATTTTCTTCTAGTTTTGTATCGGTTTTGGTCTTTGCTCTAACCCATTTGTAGTCTGACTATAGAACTGATTCAAGAATGACTCAATAAGTAAAGAGCTATATCCTGTCTGTTAAAAGATAATCAAGTTCATTTTTTGTGATGTCCTTTGCCATTCCCCGTGTTCAATGTCTTTTGATTATGTTCTTAAAGAAGGTGATATATAGACATAAAGTTTTTGAATAGCCTACACATTTTTGATCTCTCTTATTCTTGAACCATATTCATCAGTATGTCTTCCTCACCTGTTCCTATCCTTGCAACTGAGTCACCAAGCATAAGCTGATTTAACTGGGAGGGCCTTATTTAATTCTTCATAGAGCTGCTTGGCCTGTACATGCCCTACCTGCAACAGATGTTAGTGCATAAGCTGCAATTATTTCCATGGTGGTACTTTGGCTCCTAATCACCAAGAGTATAACAATATGAGGTCATCAAATATCCCATGGAATCATGTTTGTTACTGCCTTTGGACTCACAATAACATCATCTCAGACAGTTATAGATTTGAAGCTGGAAGTCCAATCCGATCCAATCATTTCATTTGACAGATGAAGAAACTGAGGCTCAGAAAGTGGTGCAGTGGACAGAGCACTGGATCTGGAGTCAGGAAGACCTTAATTCCAATTTGGCCTCATATATTTGTTAGCTGCATGACCCTGGGCAAATTACTTAACCTCTGCCTGCTTCAGTTTTCGCACCTATAAAATGGGGATAATACTAGCACCTACCTCCCAGGGCTTTTGTGAGAAGAAAATGAAGCAGTATTTGGAAAGTGCTACATACATTATTATCATCATCATCATCATCATCATCATCATCATCATCATCATCATCACTCAGGGTAACAAAGCTAGATGAATGAGATAGAATTTGAACTCAGGTCTTCTTGACTTCAGTGCCAGTGTCCAACCCGCTACATCATGGTGTCTCTCCTTTATTTGCTATTCCAGGGAGAACCTGAAAGCCACCCTCCCATTTATTTGACTGTTAGCTACCTTCTGTCTTTTGCTTTCATTTAGAGTGAGAATGTCAAGATTGATGTGTTTCACTTCCCCTCCAGTGCCCTCTCCACTCATCTGGTCACTGGATGAGGATCTCACATTTAGAGTATCATCAACTAAATTCATATTTATAGATGGTCTAAACTTTGTGTGTTTCTTAGCCCCTTCTGCCCCCTTGTGTACCCTCTGCCATTGGCCCTTCGAAGCAGGAGGGGGGCCCTGCAGGACAGAAGGGCATTTTGCATTGTCACCAACTTGCCTGCTTACTGGTGATAAGCTTCTCTGTACATAGCTAAAATAACAACTAGTAATCATAACAACAACATTTACATGGCACTTACACTCTGCCGGGAACTGTGCTAAATGCTTTTATGATTATTATCTCATTTGACCCTTCCAACCACCCTCAGAGGTTGGTGCTATTATTTATCCCCATTTTACAGGTGAAGAAACTGAGGCAAACAGGTTAAGCGACTTGCCCACGGTCACACAACCAGCAAGTGCCTGAGGCTGGATTTGAACTCAGATCTTCCTGATTCCAGGTCCAGTGCTGTATACGTTACCTCGTTGTCCTCCCAACCACAAGCAGAGGATGGCCCTTGAAAAATATGCACAGTTGATGTCAGGTAGCAAAGGGACTTAAAGATCAGGATTTAGTTCTGAAACTGGGATGCCATGGGAGGTTTAATGTGATCAGAGCTGTGCATTGGGAAGAATCCTCTGGTGGCTTTGTAGTGGATGGACGTTTCGAAATGGCACAGAACAGAGGCAGGAAACGCAGTAGGCAATTACACCAGTGTTAGGGAGAATTGATCTGGGCCTGAGCCGAGACTAGCTGGGAAGGAAAGAAGATGGGGGAAGGGAGCAAGCATGTATTAAGCACTTACTGTGTGTAGGTAGCACACCTACTAAATACCTACACTGTGCTAAGTTCCTTTTGTCTGGAGTCAGGAAGATCTGACTTCAAATCCTGCCTCAAACACTTTCAAGCTAGGTGGACAGAGTGCCAGGCCTGAAGTCCGGAAGACTCACCTTTCTGAGTTCAAATCTGGCCTCAGACACTTCTTAGCTGTGTGACCCTGGGCAAGTCACTTAACCCCGTTTGCCTCAAATGAGCTAGAGAGGGAAATGGCAAACCACTCCAGTTATCTTCATCAAGAAAACCCCAAATGGGGTCACAAAGAGTCAGACACAACTGAAACAAGTAAACAACAACCAACGGCTTTTATGACCATGGGCAAAATCACTTTACCACTGCTTGCCTCAATTTCCTCAACTGTAAAACAGGGATAATAAGGTGATTTTGAGGATTCAGTGAGATAATACATGTAAAGTACTTAGCACAGTGCTTGGCACTAGAAAGTACAATATAAATGTAAGTACAATATAATTATTCCCTTCCCCTTTCCCAGTAGAAGAAGAAAGGGGGTGGCAGGTTTGAGAGATATTGCAGAGTACTTCCTCAGGCAACTTATTCCCCTTCGTCTTTTGATCCCTAGGCCAACCTCTCCCTTTCAGGAGAAGTCTTAGATAATCTCCTTCTTTTCATCATAACCCCCCTCCCCATTCCCACGCTTCCCCCTCCCCCTCCCACCTTCCTAGAGTGGACATCCCCTCCCCACAAACAATTCCCTTAAATAAAGCAGCTCCTTAAACCCAACTCCTGCACAAAGCCTTCCCTGCCTAATTAGTAAAGCGGCCCAAGGGCCCCAGGCCCCACTCAGTTTTCGAGGGGGCTCTTTGACTTTCCCGGCTTTCTAACAACAAAACACAGAACTACCCTTTAGTTTGTTCACATCTCGACTCATTAATCCCTAAAGTGGCCTCAGTCATTTACTCTTCCTTTATGCCTCACCTGTATCAGAACTATCTTTAATTAGAAGCTTTAAAGCTTTTATATTAAATTAATTTACAATATATGAATTTTTAATTATACACTTGTAGGGGGCATTCTCTTTAATTGATTGCCTGGCACATAGTAGACTCTTAATAAATGCATATTGACTAAGTGACCCTAGGTAATGCCTACCACATGGTCAGTAAATAAAAATAAGGTCTCTTGATGGTGAAAATTAAGAGAATCCATGGTTTTCCCCTTTTGTTCTGATTCTCCTTTAACAACATGACTAATGTGGAAATATGCTTAATGTGATCATACATGTATAGCCTATATCAGATTGCTGCCCTCTTGGGGAGGGGAAAGGAGGGGGGTTCAAGGGAGTAAGGGGGTAGGGGAAAGGGAGAGGGGGGAAGAAGGGGGAAGGGATGGGGAGAGGGAGGGAGAGAGAAAAAATTTGCAACTCAAAATCTTATAAAAGTGAATGTTGAAAACTATCTTTACATTTTGTTGGAAAAAAATACTATTAACTGAAAGGGGGGAGAAGAAAATCAAGAGAATCTTGACATTAGGACAAATAAAATAATACTCTAAGTACAGAGCTCATTTCTACTTATGTCTGAGATACTCTTAGGGAGAAGGGGGTAAAGAGTGAATATCATATTAGCTAAAGCTATGAATTATGGAGGCATGGGGCTATTTTACCAGTCTGTCTTAAGCACACATTATTTTAATTCCTTCTCAGACTGTGTGAAGAGGCTCACTTTTTTTTCCTTGTGAAAGTGAAATCATTATTAATAATCTGACAATCTTTCCTATACCTTTTAAAAATTATGATTGAGTTATGAGATATGATCTACAATTCAAGAAATCCCTCATAGCTAGAAATTTGTTACTTTAGTTTTCAGGTTGAATGTATATATAGCTAGAAAAGAAATCTAAGCCAGAGAATTTGTCTTTAGAAACATGGATTAAATAGTGTCTTACCTGGAAGCTGGATTGAATCCCATTTGCAAAATTGCTTCTTACACCATGATGTTTTTCCTGGAGCCTGCTCTTCCTAGCTGGATTTGTAAGCAGGCCTTGCAGGAACATCTCCGGTAGGCCTCCTAAGGCAGAAGTCCTCGGAAAGCCGTGTTGTAGAGAAGGCACAGGGGAGCTGGCACTAGGCATGTGCACCCGCTTCCATGCCTAGTTTGGTTTCAAGAGCTTAGTTTGCTGGGGTGCTGCTGTCTCTCTAAGGAAAGCCCGGTCTGTCAGCTGGATTTGGGAAGCAGATAGGAGGCTAATTTCGTCCTCCTTCTGTTCACAGTTCAGGTGTTTCTACAGATTAGAGGTAGTGAAACTGCTGGTTTTCAAACTGTAAGAGTTTCCAAATAAGGAAGGACATTAGCTGACTGGTTATGAAGTGAATGGGGATATGACATGAGGAAGCAATTTCTGATGAATTGATGAGTCCAGACAGACTAGCCCTGGTTCCAGCTTCAGATGATAAATTTCCCTGAATTTTTGTCCTCTCTTTCAGCAACTTCAGTTGAAACTGTCTATTTTAGTGAAAAGATTTCTCTGGGGATATCATAGGACCTTATTCCCCCAGGAAATATATAATAGGCCATGGAAGTGTGGAAGGAAACAAGCATTTCCTAATCATCTCTTACTTGGTCCTCATAACAACCCTGGGAGGTAGGTGCTATTATTATCCCCATTCCATAGTTGGGGCAACTGGGGACACACAGCTAATAAATATCTGAGGCCAGATTTGAATTCAGGTCTTCCTGACTTCAGTCAATGTTCCTCATTGGATATAAGTTACTGACCTTTCCAAGTCCATCAGAACATCGCACAAAGTCAACCTAAGTAAGCAAAAATTTGCATCGATGACCTATGATTTTGTAGATTCAGAAAATCTCTCATTGCTTAGATAGCTTCAACTCCATCTGTAATTTATTTTTTTTTTAGAGAATTGCCTGAGGTTTAGAGAGTTAAGTGGCTTCTCCATGGTGATAAAGCTAGTAAATTTCAGAGGCAGGATCTGAACCCATTTCCCCAACACCCACTGTGCTATATTGCTTCTCAGAAAAAGAGTTAAAGGTAAAAAAAAATTAATAGTTTAAAACTAAGTTTGAATTCAGTTGAATATTGGACTTTAGAATTTAGGTAAAGATCAATCACAATCACTTTTTTTCACTTTGGAAGGTCATTTCTGAGAATTTGAGTATCTTTATTCAACTTTGCACAGTAAGGGTTACATTCGAATTTGAGACTATAACATCCTCTCCTTACCATGTGATTAGTTCTTCATCTTAATTCCCCCTTGCCATGCTAAAGCTCTTTGACTAACTTCCAAAAGCTAGAAAGAAAAGATAAAGGGATGAGCTCTATAGTTATAAAGAAGAGAACTCTACTTTCCACTTTAGACCTATGATTCCATTCTCATCTTTGGTTTGCAGAAGGTTAGCTAAAACCATTGCAGAAAGATGTTCCTTTTGGGAAGTTAAGAAAATAATTAGAACATACAGGATAGTGTGTAATTAACAGAGTTGTTGTGAAAAGGATAGGTAGCCACTCAGGAATCAACATGTATGGTGGGTGTTGTGTGTACATACACATGTAAAAAGGGAAGCTTTTAAATGTTATTTTTATAGGGGCATTTTTTAATATCAGAAAAGTCTGCCTTTCCTTCCACATAAATATTTTATAATGTCAAATTGCTTATGCCTAGGCTATAGGGAGATCAAAGACAGGCACTAACATACAGAAGATATAATTTTCAGACCTTCTCTTAGGTGTATGGGTTACTTGTTCAGCCTCTGGTCACTGGTAACCTGGTGCCTTGGTAATCAGACTCCCAGGCAACAGTACAGACATTGTCAATTCAGCTCCTCAAAGAGGTGGTGAATGGCCAAGATTCATTGTCATACTTCGGAAATTTGATTTTTTTCCCTTTTGGTCAAACTAGATAAAAAATCATTAGGAATGGATGATAATAGACATACTGTCAATCCCATCCCATTTTGGTCACATTATAATTTTGTCTTCTGATAACCTCTGGCAGGAAAGAGAAGGCAGGATTCTAGTTCCATGAAGAGATGTCAGATACCAGGGAAAGTGCCCTAGGGAAAGAGAATGCCTTAGTATAGGAAAATTCAGCAATCAATTGTTGAATTCATCACATCTGTTGTTTGCTCTTCATTTTTGAAGAGGGTGGTGTCTTGATGCACGTGTGAATTGGATGTAAGTGAGGCATTGTTGTACAAAGTCCTCAGCCTCACTCTCTCTTCCAGAGTCATCAAAGTCCAGTATCAAGACAAAAGTCAAGATGATTGGCAATGGCCCCCAGATGCAGTGGTTGACCTTGGTGTCTCCCATGTCTAACCAAGTTCTAAGTGCTCCACAGCACCTACTTCAGCCTGCTTTATGGCTGTTGGAACAAATTGTTCTCGTCCCCTCATTCTGCCTGGGGAAGTCTACACATGTTTGGGTAGACATCTCCCTAACTCACCTACGGGGTTGAGGCCTGTTGGTTACCTTCAACCTGTTTCACCTGTTTGCCCAAATGGTTTTACCAAGACATGGCCACTGTGCATGCTACAGCTTCTTGTAGCCACGGACGAGTTTTGGGTGAATCAGGTGGACACAAGGGCTCAGCTGGCTCTCACACCAGAGGTGCTAGTCCTCTGGAACACCCCATGCACCTCCATCAAGGAAAAAAAAATCTAATGATAGGATCATAAATATAGAGCTGAAAGGGAGCAGATAGGGAATCCAGTCCAACCCTCTCATTTTCTAGAAGAAACAGGCCTAGAGGCTAAAAAGATTTGCCCAGTCAGGAAACTATCTGAGCTGAATTCAGACTCTGGTCCTCAGGCTACAAATTCTCTTTTCTCTGCCGCCTTATACTATTGTTAATTAAGGCTGCTACTATTTACACACAGGACTTGTTGGTTTATCACATGTATCACTCAGCTTTGATTAAAATGAAGGTGATCGTGGAGATTTGTGGGACCAAAAGCTGTTGAAAGTCATAAAATTCTCCACTACATCCACTGAGAAGCCCTTGGGGCTCAATGGTCACTGGACTGACAGAAGTGAACTGAGGATGGTAAAGGACTTTCAAAAGTATCAAGTGGGAGAAGCAAATGCTCTTAGTGAAATACAAGCATGGTTGACACATTTCTGGAATGCTTCAAGGCTTAGGAGTCAGAAGATATGACTTCATATCTCTGCTGCTTACTACCTGGGTGATGTTGGGTAAATCACCTAACCTCTCTTGGTCTGTTTCCTCATCTGTAAAATGGGGGAGTTAGCCTTCATGGTCTCTGAGGTCCCTTCCACCTATAGATTTATGGTGCTAGGTTTCTGTGGATGCCACAAGGCACAAAGCTGTTTTATGTTCTAATAAAATTCCTGAATGTCAAACCGTGTATGAGAGAATCACAAGTAACGATTGCCATCACTCCCCTGCGAACTGGGAAATGAGAGCTTGGGACAATCGGTGTTGTGTGTTTACAAAATCGGTGTTGTATGTTTACAAAATCAGTGTTGTGTGTTTACAAAGGAACACAGAGTAGGAAGAATCATGGATGTTCATATAGTGCTGTCAAGCTTGCATACAGTATCTAGTTTTAAAATAAATATACATTGAGAATTTAAATCAATTATTTCGCTCTCTAAGTGGAATATGAACTTCTCCAGGTTCAATTTTTCCCAGCCCTGAAGCCTTTTGTTGTCGTTCAGTCACATCTGACTCTTCATGACCCCATTTCCTTCTCCAGCTCATTTTACAGATGAGGAAACTGAGGCAAATGGGGTTGAGTGACTTGCCCAGGGTCACACAACTAGTAAGAGTCTGAGGCCAGATTTGAACTCAGGTCTTTCTGACTCTGGACCTGGGGTTCTATCCACTGTACCACCTAGCTTCCCTGAAGCCTACATTATCTTCTTCTGAGCCTTAAGACAACACTTTGAAGTAGGCTGTGACAGGCATTAACGGCTTTGTTTTAAAGACAAAATGATATGTATCATCACAGAAGAGATTTAAACCCAAGTCTTGCTGCCTCAAAGCCCAGTAACACATTGACACATTAGTAACTTCCATTAGGGTTCAGTCCGTTCTAAGACTTTGGGATTCACCGAGGGGTATTATATAGAAATGCTTATGATTTGTTTGGATCAATTTCTTATCCTGTAATTTTATTGGTTATTAATTATTTCAATTAATTTTTAGTTGACTTGCTAGAATTCTTTAAGTATACCATCAAATCATCTAGGAAAAGTGATAATTTTGTTTCTTTTTTACTTCTGCATATTTCCTCACTTTTTTTTTAATCTTGTGGCTCTGGCCAACATTTCTAGTACTACATGAAAAAGAAATGGAGAAAATGGACATCTTTGTTTCCCTCTTGATTTTTTAAAAGACATTTTTCTAGGTGGCAAGTAGAGCCAGTTCAGGGTTAATCTTGAGTTATTTTTCAACATCACTAAAAAGGACAACTAAAAAAAAAAACAACTCATGGTGGCAGTTAGCTTAAGTCTTGTTGTTCATTGGTCACTGTTTTGCAACTGTGCAAGAAAAAGAAATCAGTGATGTTCCAAAGAGAAATTCTACCCAGGTAGACTCTATTTAGGATTTAGACCAAACCTGATGGGACAGGAGATGGAACAAAGGAAAAAAAACATGAAAAAGTCTTAATAGATTTATAATGAGGAGTTGGTGTAATTTATCCTTTAAAACAAAATCAAATGCATTCACCTCAAAAAATACTTTCACAGAATTTGTGTATTTATCATGTAAACATGATGAATTTAAGAAATATTGGGAAAGACTGCTGATTCCCATGAGTAACATGTATTAGAAAGTGTCCTTGACTTAGAGTTAGAAGGTCTGGGTTCAAATTATGCCTTGGCCATTTTATTAATTGTCCAGTTTCTTGATTCATAAAGTGAGGGTAATGATAATTATATCTCCTTCCTTATATAGTTGTTGAACTGAATGAGATGTGTACAAAAGCACTAGCAGTGTTATGTAAATGTATGTTATTATTATTGAGTAGAGCCTTCAAACAATTAGCCAACTAGTCTACAAGCATTTAGGGAGCCTGGACTATGCCAGGAACACATCAGGTGCTTAGAAGGGGCCTACAGAAAGGATTAGAGCAGTGTCTCTTCCCGCTAGGAGCTAGCAACTAGTTAAGAAAAAGAGATTGAATAATCTAATTGGACACACAAGT